GGCGGCTGCACCAGGGGCGACAGCTGCACATGGGCGGCTGCACCAGGGGCGGCTGCACAAGGGGCGGCAGCTGCAGAGGGGCGGCTGCACCAGGGGTGGCAGCTGCAGATGGGCGGCTGCACAAGGGGCGGCAGCTGCAGATGGGCGGCTGCACCTGGGGCGGCTGCACAGGGGGGGGGGGGGGGGGGGGGCAGCTGCAGATGGGCAGCTGCACAAGGGGGGGGGGGGGGGCAGTTGCAGAGGGGCGGCTGCACCAGGGGGGGGGGGCAGCTGCAGATGGGCGGCTGCACAAGGGTGGGGCAGCTGCAGAGGGGCGGCTGCACCAGGGGGGGCAGCTGCAGATGGGCGGCTGCACCAGGGGCGGCAGCTGCAGATGGGCAGCTGCACAAGGGGGGGGGGGGGGGGGGGGGGGGGCAGCTGCAGAGGGGCGGCTGCACCAGGGGGGGGGGGGGCAGCTGCAGATGGGCGGCTGCACAAGGGTGGGGCAGCTGCAGAGGGGCAGCTGCACCAGGGGGGGCAGCTGCAGATGGGCGGCTGCACCAGGGGCGGCAGCTGCAGATGGGCGGCTGCACCAGGGGCGGCAGCTGCAGATGGGCGGCTGCACCAGGGGCGGCAGCTGCAGATGGGCGGCTGCACACGGGTGGGGCAGCTGCAGAGGGGCGGCTGCACCAGGGGGGGGGCAGCTGCAGATGGGCAGCTGCACAAGGGGCGGCAGCTGCAGAGGGGTGGCTGCACCAGGGGCGGCAGCTGCAGATGGGCGGCTGCACCAGGGGCGGCAGCTGCAGATGGGCGGCTGCACCAGGGGCGGCAGCTGCAGATGGGCGGCTGCACCTGGGGCGGCTGCACAGGGGGCGGCAGCTGCAGATGGGCGGCTGCACCTGGGGCGGCTGCACAGGGGGCGGCAGCTGCAGATGGGCGGCTGCACCACGGACGGCTGCTGCAGCAGCCGCTGGAGACACGGCGGCAGCAGGTGCTGCAGGTACGGTGGCAGCAGCTGCTGCAGAATCGGCAGTGGCAGTTGCTGCAGGGTAGGCTGCTGTAGGTGCAGCAGGTACAGGGGCGGCAGCGGCGGCAGGCCCGGTGGCGGTAGCTGCTGCAGGCCTGTGACGGCAGCTGCAGAAAGGCCGGCGGCGGCAGGTGCAGGAGAGCCGGCGGCTGCAGCTGCAGGAGAGCGGGCGGCGGAAGCTGCTGCAGGCTGCAGCAGCGGTGGCTGCTGCAGAACCAGTGGCGGCAGCTGCTGCAGGCCCAGCAGTGGCGGCTGCTGCAGCAGGCCCAGCAGTGGCGGCTGCTGCAGAACCAGCGGCGGCAGCTGCTGCAGGCTAGGGGGAGGGCCGCAACTGAGGCGGCAAGGGCCGCGACGGGCCTGGAAGGGGCCGCGACGGGCCAGAAAGGAGCCGCGACGGACCAGGAAAGGGTCCGCGGCGGGCTTCTAGGGGGCCGCGACGGGCTTCTAAGGGGCCGCGACGGCTATTTTAAGGGGCCGCGACGGGCAAGTTAGGGGGCCGAAAGAGGGCGCGACGGTAGGGAGGACACACGAGGCGCGATTCGGGCAGGTGCGTTCCCCCTAAGAAAAAAAAATCGAGTTAAATCGAGTTGGTGGGCCCTAGGAAACTTCCTAGCTCTATACCATGTGGACGTTTAGAGTGAAAAGTTGACTAAGGGAAAATGTCGAGGGTACAAAACCTAAGGAAACAAACCCTCTAAAGTGAACCCCACTACAGCCTAACAACAATACTAACATATATGAATATATGTCTGACAGCCTGTGGGTCAGTTGCTCCTGCCGCTCGTCTATAGCCGCGGAGCCAGTTACTCCTGTAGTCCGGGCCTTTGCTTCGGTAGCCACTGAGCCAGCAGCTCGTCTGTGTGTCTGCAGCGTCAGCAGTCGCCTCCCATCTTCTCTCCCCCACAGTCTCTCCTCCTCCTCACTTGCCCTCTGTGATTAGCTCTAGCCTTACTTACCTAATGTGAACTCTTGCTCTATGCCTACATGTTGTACTGATTATACCCCACTTTGACTATGGGGGTGTGTCAGATTATGATGCATGTCTAGTCTGTAGTGGGGTACTCAAAAGTGAGTATAACCCTTTTAGGGCTTACTACTTGTATCCCCCTCCTTTCTAGTCGAACCCTCCCTCTCCTTCTAAAATCTCTTGACACTTTCCTTACACCCTCGAACTCAACTACCAAGGAACCTAAACCTATGGCTCCTAAGCCAAACTCGTCTTAGCTTTTAACACGTCATTCAGTAATCAGTTCATTCTCGATATTCGTTATTCTGCGCACTCTGCAAGTTCATTCATGTTACAATCCCAAATGGGACTTTGCGAAGGATCGCTCAGGGCTGATCGCAGAGTAGTGTTGCAACGGAAGTTTTGAATCTCAGATCTGAGTGAACCCTAAACCCTGAGTTGATAATAACATGCATACATCGGGTTTATATAGGAATACAGGGGAGTACGAAAAGGCCTAGACTAGCCATGTACTCTAAGGGGTACATTCCCTTATTGCAACTGAATTCAAACCGTGCGGCGCGGGAACCCGTTTCAAACCTGTTCCCGCCTTTTCCACTTCAAGTGTTTCTGCCTACATCGGTCTTGGTCGGACGGTTGCTGTGTCGCTTCGACTCTTCTGACTCCTCGACTTCGTACTCGGTAGAGTCGGCTCCTGCAGTATACAGGAATGCCTTACTCATAAAACTTCATATCATAACACTCCCCTTCATTCCTGGACGCGGGTGGAGCTGACTCGCTTGACTACTCCGGTGAGGTCAGAGTAGTGCTTGTACTGCTGACGTGGCAGACGCTTGGTGAGAAAATCTGCTGCCATCTCAGTAGTACGGCAGTAGGCGAGGTCAACCTTGCCTTGGTCGATTTCGTCCTTGACGAAAAAATACCGAAGTGCAATGTGCTTCGTGCGGTTCACAAAACCTGGCTTGTTCGCGATCCTGATGGCACTCTGATTGTCGCAGAAAAGGTGAAAGGTGGGCGAAGTTGGAATTTTCGCTTCCTGTAGCAGCTCCTGCAGGTACAGGCCTTCGCGAACTGCTGCTGTTGTGGCGATGTATTCTGCTTCAGCCGATGACAGGGCAACCAGCTCCTACTTCTGCGAGTTCAAGGAGATTGGCCCAGCTGGTTCCAAGCGAAAAACGAAGCCGGTTCGGGACCGTCGATTTTCAGGATCGGCTGCATGATTTGCGTCCACGTAGACGTTGAGGTTGAAGGAGGTCGTCGTCAGCGTGGAGTAGGAGAGCCCAATGTCAGGTGTGGAGATGAAGTACTGCAGGGCGCGCTCTAGGTCCAACTGGTTCTCAGCAACTAGCTTGCGAAAATACTGCGCAAGTTGGTTGGCGATGTACGAGAGGTCAGGTCGGCAGGTGACAGAGGCGAATAGTAGGCACCCCAACTTCTGTTGATACATTTGGAGTCCTGCGGGCGACAGAGGTTTGTTGTCCGGTTTGTAATTGGCTCTAGGACTGCGGTAGGGAGTTGAGAGTGGTGCGGGTGAGATGTTGAAGCATTCTCCCAGCTGCTCTGCATACTTTGAGGCTGACAGCTGGATTGCTTCTGGCGCGTAACTGATCTTTAACCCCAAAAACTGCTTCACTTCGAGGTTGATGGTGATGTCCACGCGCTGCGCCAGGTTCTCCTGAAATTGATCGAGGAGTTTGTTGCAGGTGCCCGTGTACAGCAGGTCGTCGACGTAGAATGTTAGGAGGATGTAAACGCCGCTGAAGTGAAGACGATACATTCCCGGGTCGTGTGGGAGCTGCTTGAAACCGATCTCAAGAAGGATTTTGTGTAGGTGCTGCTGCCAGAGGCGAGGCGCCTTCTTGATCCCATAGAGGGATTTCTTCAATTGACAGACCCTGGGGTCTCCTTCCCCGTAGGTGTGCGGCTCCTCCACAAAGATGGTGGCGTCCACCAAAGCGTATAAGAACGCGTTCTTTACGTCGATCTGTCGCAGTGGTAGGTGCTTCGCAGCGGCAATGGCGAGTAGAATCCGAACTGAGGTGTGACGGCTGACGGGAGCGAAGGTTTGGTCGAAGTCGATGCCATGGCGTTGATCGTACCCGCGTACGACCCAGCGTGCCTTGAAACGCTCGATAGTGCCGTCGGTGTGAAAATGAGAACGAGAATGAAATGACTATGAACGAAGTGAGTACAAATAGGAAACCCTAAATGGGTTGTACCCCCTATGGGATACCCCACTATGGCCTACACAAATAAGTAAGCTATAATGTTCTGACACACCCCCATAGGCAAAGTGGGGGAGAACAAGGGGTCACAAGACCAGTCAAGCAAAGAAAAGCAAAGCAAGCTCAGGGTGGATCACAAAGTCACCACACATTCCGAGCACAAGTTCAAAGGCCAGAAGGCCAGTTCACATGCAGGATCACATATATAGATATACAAGAGTCTAAGCAAGCAAGAGCAAGAGTATATATATGTGAAAGTACAAGCAAGGTCAAGAAGTGAGCAAGCGAGGCAAGACAGGCACAAGACCCAGCTGCGTGCAGAAGCGCTGATGATCACAAGGCGCAAGTGCCTTGGTGAAGACATCAGCAGTGTTGGCCTTAGAGGCCACGTACGCGAGTCGCAACTGTCCACGCTGCTGCAGCTCACGAGCAAGAAAGTAGCGGAGAGCAATGTGCTTTGTCCTGTGCTCCAGGATACGGGCCACTCGACTCTACGGACTCATCCGAAGGCAGAGCTAAGAGCGAGTGGCGAGTAGGCAGAGGAGTGGCCTGAGGCGAGGAGTACGTGAAGCCGAAGCGCTGAAGGACCTGCTGCACCATGTATGACTGAGTCAGGGTAATGGTGCGGCGTGCTCTGTCCCGGGTGATCTGCAAGCCAAGGTAGCTGCGCAGTTCACCCAGGTCAGTGCACGTGTGTCTCTTCTGCAGCTCGGACTTCACGTAGGCGAGTCCAGCAGTGTCAGCTGCGGCAAAGACCAAGTCGTCGACGTAGACGAGGATGTAGAACGGCGGCAAAGAGGTGTCAGTGCGCAGAAACAGCGACGGGTCTGCAGTGGAAGGAGCAAACCCAAGTGCCGCCAGCGTAGTTCTCAGTGTGTCGTGCCACTCACGCGGCGCCTGGCGGAGACCGTAGACTGGACGCCGGAGACTCCACTGGGTACCAGGAGGGAAAGACCCAGTGAAGCCAGGTGGGCGGCGCAGCCAGATCTCCTCGTGCAGGCTGCCCTGCAAGAAAGCAGTGCTGAAGTCGAGAGAGTGCAGCTCGTAGTCACGGTGAGCAGCAACGTGCAGCAGTACCCGAAGAGTGCTCATCTTCGGGGTGGGAGAGAAGGTCTGAAAGTAGTCAACCCCCTGCCGCTGATTGAAGCCACGAGCCACGTAACGCGCCTTGAAGACAAGCGGAGAACCCGGCGGCCGCTTCACCCTGAAGATCCACATGCCACTCACGATGTTCGCCCCAGGAGCGGGGACAGCGTCAACGTAGGTGCCTGTGGACTTCCAGGAAGCCATCTCTGTGTCCATAGCTGCCTGCCACTGAGAGGAGTAGGGACCCTCTATCGCCTCCACGTAAGAGCGCGGAGTCGGGATGTCAAGTGCATCCGGGTCTCCCTCAGGGGTGAGCAGTACGGACACGAGATGAGGTGAAGCGGCGGCCAGACACTGGAACTCCTCCTGCCTGTCCTCAAGGACGTCCGTGCCAAGGGCACACTCACCCCCGACGGACGGAGGACAGGCAGACTCAGACTCAGCGACAAGACTAGCAGCGTAGTCTAGACGACAGCGAGCAGAAAAGTCGACGAGCTCAGTAACAAGGGCAGACGCAGCAGTAGACTCGAAAGAAGGGTCAGTGACGGCAGTAGCAAGGAGACGCGTGACAGTAGGACTGGCAGCACGAAGAGAGTCCGACTCCGGGTCGGCAAGAGCAGGAAGAGAGGAAGCAGGAGGAGAAGGCAAAGGGGCACGCAGAGGAGCAGTAGACGGACGCCGAGACATCCGGTGCGTGCCAGGGACAGGAGGAGGACGCTGACGCGAACCGCGACCACTAGTGCGCGCAGCACGAACAGGCGACGCAGGACGAGACGCAGGCTCACGACGCTCAGTAAGACCTCCAGTCGGACCAGCGTAGGGAGAAGGAGCAGGCAAAGGGGAGGCAGGCTGTAGCTATGGCTGTGACTGGACAGGCTGTGGACCCTCTAAGGGAGGAGGAGGAGGACCAGGAGAAGGTGGAAGACCAAGAACCTGCTGCAGGAGAGGAACGAAGTACGGTCGGGGCCGCGTGGCGACGCCAGAAACAGCAGGGACAGTACCAGTAGCTCCAGCAGGAGGACCAGCTCCAGCAGCACCTCCAGCAGCACCTCCAGTAGCTCCAGAGCCCCCAGCAGCAGCAGAACCTCCAGCAGCACCAGGAGCACCGCCAGTCGGACCGCCAGTGGTAGTCTCAGCGCCAACACCCTCAGCAGCACCAGCTCCAGTCAAACCCGCAGGCGCAACAGCTCCAGTACTCCCAGTACGAGCACCTCCGGGACCCGCGGCAGCAGCACCCTCAGCAGCCGAAGAACCTCCAGCACCAGTAGCACGCCTCCAACGCCGGGCAAACCACTCACGTAGCTCCTACGGGGAGAGTGGCTCTCGGCGAGACGAAGCACCCGGAGCACCTCCAGGCGAAGAACCTCCAGGCTTAGCACCCCCAGGAAAAGCACCTCCAGGCGTAGCACCTCCAGCCTCAGCACCCCCAGGCTCAGCACCCCCAGGCTCAGCACCCCCAGGCTCAGCACACCCAGGCTCAGCACCCCCAGGCTCCGCACCCCCAGGCTCCGCACCCCCAGGCTCAGCACCCCCAGGCACAGCACCCCCAGTCAAAGCACCTCGAGGCTCAGCACCCCCAGCAGCACCAGAGTCACCCGTGACCTCGATAGGCTCGACCGCGTCTACCTGTGACACACCTGAAGGGGCAGGACCCTGATGGGGAAGGGGGTCTACCGGGGGGGGACCTGGTACCAAGAAGAGCGGGGGTGGGGGGAGGGACGGAGTGCGATAGGGGAAGAGGCGGTAGTAGGGTACCGACTCATCGAACGTGACGTCTTGGGAGGACAGAACACGGCGAAAGGTGGGGTGGTAGAACTGCCACCCAGGGGCGTCGGGGGGGAACCCCAGGAAGACGCAGGGAGCTGCGCGAGGGGACAGCTTGTCCGCAGACAAGTCGCGGACAAACGCCCGAGATCCCCAGACCCGGAACGCCGACGCATCGCCAACCTTCCCCGTCCACAGCAGGACTGGGGAGGTCTCCGGCCTGGAGACCCTGGGGTGGAGGTTGAGCTGATGCGCCGCGTACCTGACCGCAAACGGCCACAGAAAATGGAGGGCAGCCGCATGCATCATAGACGTACGAGCGACGTCCATGACCATGCCAATGTGGCGCTCTGCAATCCCATTTTTCTGCGGTGAGTCCGGAAGCGTGAAGGTCTGACGGATGCCTCGCGCACAACAGTAGGCACGCAGAAGGCCAGAGGAGAACTCTCCGCCTCTGTCCGAGTGCAGACGCAACACAGGAAAGTCCGAGCCAAAGCTCTGCCTGAGCTGGAGACGAGCTGCGCGGATCCAGTCGATCAGTACCTCAGTGACATCACCCTTGCTGCGCAAGGGGAAGACAGTGGTGTAACGCGAGTAGTCGTCAACCACCAACAGGAAGTAGCGCTCGTGACCGAGTCCACGGAGGCGGGCAGGGCCCCACACGTCCATGTGAAGCGTCTGCAATGGAGCCTCTGTCGGAGGAAACTAGGAGGAGTGAGGGGCAGCACGCTGGCGCCCCTTTACACAGGGGACACAGGCAGGGCCAGGGCCCTGAGGAAGGGGAGGGAGGGACCGGGGGAGACCAGACACAAGAAGACGGGAGGCCATGCCTCTGAGCCGAAGCAGAGAGGGGTGACCCAGGCGGTGGTGCCAGAGGAGAGTCTCGTGAGACAGGCGACGACACGAACAGGGGGCAGACTCAGGACCAGACCTGGACGCTGCAGCAAACACCTGGCCTGACGAAGGGACCCTACCAGACGCAGGGACAGAAGGAGACGGAGTGGTCAGTGTGTACAGGCTCGACCCTGGCTGACGTGTAAACGTAGCCAGGTGACGACCTGTGCTAGCCTCTGTGCAGTGCGTCACTCGCTGACGAGCAGGGGTGAACTGGTGGACTCCCGCATCCTGTAGGTCAGCACCACTCACCAGGTAAGGGCGGCACGAAGCCGGGGGAAGGGCGGCGACAGGCCTGGGGCGGCGTGAAGCCGCAGGTAAGGGCGGCGCGAAGCCGCCGGTAAGGGCGGCGCGAAGCCGCAGGTAAGGGCGGCGACGAGCCGGGAGAAGGGCGGCGCGCCGCAGCCGCTAAGGCGGCTCGACGCGACCGTAAGGGCGGCGCGACGAGCCGCTAGGTGCGATCCGACGGGACGCTAAAAAAAAAATGAGCGCGCGCCTCGAGGCGCGCTTCGGTGGGCCCAAGGAACAGTCCCTAGGAGGGGACCTGCTCTGATTCCATGTGAAAATGAGAACGAGAATGAAATGACTATGAACAAAGTGAGTACAAATAGGAAACCCTAATTGGGTTGTACCCCCTATGGGATACCCCACTATGGCCTACACAAATAAGTAAGCTATAATGTTCTGACAGTCGGTGTTAGTTTTCAGGCGAAAAAACCACTTTCCACTGAGCACCCTCCTCCCCTTCACTGCTGCACGGTCGACTAGGACCCAGGTGTCTCGGGATTCCAATGCTTTCAGCTCCGCATCCATCGCAGCACGCCACTCCCTGGCGTGAGGGCCGGTTAGGGCCTGGCGAGGGTTCTTGGGCTTTACGACCCGTGCAAGGGTAGAGACGGATGTGTGCAGGCCGAGAAGTTGAAGGCCTGACACATTGGTGGTGTCTGTGTTGGTGACTTCCACCACGTTGTCATCTCCGCTCTCGTAGCCGGGTGCTGCGGTGCTTGGCTCTTGTTGGCGCCGTGATGGTCCTGGCGCCGGGTCGTCATCGCTATCATCGTCGTCGTCGTCGCGCGGGCGAGGGGGGATGCTGGGATGTTCTTCGGTGACATCGCGGTCCAGTACTGCTGCTGCTGCTGCGTCTTTTGGAGTTGCGAAACTGCGGCCGCTGTTGACGTAGCCGCGTGCCTGGTTTCGGCGCTCGTCTTCGATCCACTGCTTCAGGGTGAGTCGTTCATAGAAGAGAATGTCACGCGCCGGAACGATCTCGATGCTGTCGATGTCAAGAATGAGCCATCCTTTGTGCTCGTGGCTGAGCCACAGATGAACTCCCCAGCGCGCACGATGAACGAACTTGCCGATAGTTGCTGAGGTCGGCCAGTATTGCACCATGCACCCCCAAACCCTCAGCATGGAGGGGTCTCCCCTTGAGCCGGTCCACTTCATGTGAGGGGACAGGTTGTCCCTATTGGCGGTGGTGGAGAGGAGGTTGTGCAGGTGCACCGCATGGTTCATGGCGTATGGCCAGAACTTCTTTGGCAAGCCGGACTGATTTATGATGGCGCGTACCTTGGTCATGAGCGTGCGATTGACCCTCTCGGCGACACCTTGCTGCTGGTTAGCATAGGGGAGAGAGATCTCATGCTTGATCCCCTTCTCGGTGAGCACGCTCTCCAGTTCGTTGCTCCGAAATTCCTTTGCCCCATCACTCTGCCAGATCTTCAGTTTCCTCCCCGACTGTTGCTGCGCGTGCGCGAGGAAGATGCGGAACACCTCCGGAGCCTTGGAGCGGGTGTCAACGTTGGCGATCCACACATGGCGTCAGTAGGCGTCGATGAAGGTGAGAGTATACTTCTCGCCGTTGATGCCGTCGTAGGTGAGCACGATGAAACCACTGTACACCTTCTCCAACTTCTTGTAGCGGTTGGTGCTCGGCTCTAGAGAGGGATAGGCGGTGTGGGAGAGTGCAGCTGTGGGGCAGACAGTGCAAGTGGTTGGATGGGGGTTGGTGTGCTGTAGCTCCGTCCCATCGGAGCACAGTAGTGCTCCTGATGGAAAGACCTTTGCGCGAAGGCAGTTAGCGAGGGTCTAGCGCGAGGGGTGGCCCATCCGCTGGTGCCAGAGATCGTCCTCGGCGCGGATGCCAGAGGTGCGCTTGTAGTGGGTGTGGTATTCTGCTGCTTCCTCCTCCGTGAGTTCCGGGATCTGGAGGGGAGGTTCTTCCTCTTCTCCTGGTTCTGCTCCGTTGTTCTCCTCCTCTGCTTCCGCTTCTGCCGTTGCCTCCCCTTCTGCAGGTGCCGTTGTGAGGTAAAGTGCAAGAAATTTGTGGTCGGGGATGATGGTGAGAGGGGTTGTGGTACCTTCGATGAAGCGCGCAAACGGATCTGGACGGGAGATTGGACCGAGAGAGTCCCGCGGAGGCGTTGGTGGTACGTTCCCCTCCTCAATCTCCGACCAGGGATCGTTCCAACGATAAGGTGAGCGCGGAGGTTCGCGAGTGCGCGGGGGTCGTCCGAGAGGAATGACAACGCGGGGTGGTGTTTCTCCACGTTCTGCTTGCATTTCTCGTTCAGCTTCGTCCAATTCTTCTTGCGTGAGATCCCCTTCCTCAGGTTCTGTTGTTCCCCATCCTCCGGTGGTGACAACGCCGCTGGCGCTGGCTCCCCATGCTCCAATTGCGGATGCCCATGTTGCGCCTTCTTCTGGTTAGTAGTCTTCATCTCCCCATGCGCCACAGCGTGCGGACTCCTCGTCCCATCCTGCCGCGACGCGCTCCTCATACAGCTTCTGCTTCTTTTCCGCCCGTGCCTTTTCCTGTTCTTCCTTGACGCTCAGCTCCTCTGGTTTGTCAGGATCTTTCCAGGCAAGGTCGATGTGGGGGCGGTAAACTTCGCGGGCGTATGGGCGCTCTCGTCCTTCCTCGTCCTTGGTGGTGACATTCACATCCAGAACGAACTGAAGATTGTCCGAATAGGGCTTTGCCATTTCCGTTCGTTCGAGCTTGTATTCTTTGTCTGCTTCACCGAAGACGCGGTAAGATGCAACGGCAAGTTCTTCTCTGGTCATGCCGGTAGGTTCCGCCTCAACGCTTTCTGCTTCTTGAATTGCCGCTTGCTCTCTTTCGACTTGCTCCGTGTGACTCGCGGTGGGCGTGTGGCAGGTTGTGCAGAGGTCGTTGTCGTCTGGTTCATGCAGGTTGATCTCACAGGGGTGAGGGCTGCGGCGAATCCACGGTCATCCATCCGGATGCTGCCATGACGCCTGATCCATGAAGGCAAACTCGAGGGGGACAAGGTCCACGAGTTCGTCTGACGAGGCTTGACAAGGAGGTATGTCAAAGTCCAGGATGTAGATCCCGTTGATGGAGCGAGCTCGTCCGAGGTATTTGAATGTCTCATGAGGAGTTTCTGAGGGAGCGTAGGTAAGGATGAGGTCGCGCGTGGCAAGGTCCGTGTGAATGATGACGCCACAGTCGCGGAGTTGTCCAGCCGAGAGCAGATTGAAGCGGAGATTCGAGACGTAGAGGACGTCGTTGAACGAGATGTGAGTGTTGCTATCTCGTGCTTGTAGGACGACAAGTCCTTGCGAGTTGGCGCGTAGCTGCTCGTTGTTGGCGACGGTAACGTAAGTTGCGGGGGCGCGGCTCAGGTTTGAGACATAGCGCGTTGATCCCACCATGTGCTGTCCGCAGCAGCTGTCCAGGTACCAGGTGTTGTAATTGTCGGTGTTGTTTCGTCGCAGCAGTAGCGCCAATCGCGGAGTTACCAGGGTGGCTTTGTAGCGCCTGTAGAAGAAAGGGTCTTCGTCCTCCTTCCAACCCACTGGTATGTAGTGTTGATTGTCATGTGGCGGGCTTTCCTGTAATGTGATTGGTTGATTCCAATCCTGCTCGTCTTCGTCATACAGGTAGTAGTGGTTCTCGGTGAAGGGATTATTCCATCCTTCTTCCGGTTGTAGAAGTCTTCCTTGGACTTCGATCTCCTCGTCAGGCTCAGCAGTGCGACGGCGGCGCGTCGCCATGTTCGCAATTATGTTCCTCGGAGCTCCTGACTGGGATCCTTGATTTTGTTGGTGTTGTTGCTATGCAGGAGGACGATTTTGTTGGTGCTGAGGTTGAGAATGACGAGCGTCTTGTCGGGCCGACCCAATTGTTATGGTGAGTGGAATTTGGGTGGCGTTGGCTGGATCGGGACTTGCATCGATCCGTTGAGTGTCCGAAGACCTTGCATATTTTGCAGTAATGGCGCCTTGGCTGTCGTCGCTCTTCTCGGTTGTCCGCGTAGAAGGCGAGGCGCTCTCGGCGCGGCGCGGAGCTTGTTCTACTCGAATCCATGTCCTGCTGTTCGGACAGGAGTGCGGCGCATAGCACGGCTTCTCAAATGATTCCTCACTGTCGGAGTAATGCTTTGCAGGGCTTCCACTCTGGCCCGAGTCCTTGAAGGACTATGTTGAGGAAGATCTCTTCTGAGATCGTACTCCCATGCTTCGTGATCTGGTCACGAATGTTGCGACAGCGGTTAATGTACGGATTTGCCTTCTCCCCGTGCCCCATTTTTATCTCCAGGAGTTGCTGCAAAAGCCTGCTGGCGGTGACCGATTCCTTCGGCTGATAAACCTCAATGAGGTGCTTCCAGGCTTCCATGGCTGGAGCGTCGCTCTCTTTGTAGGCGCGTATGTTGAGTTGTTCCGCAGGCGTCATGTTGCAAAGCAACACACTGTAGGCCATGAGGGACTCGCTGTAGTACGGAGCCCTGGCGACGTCGGTGTTTTCCACC